TTCATATATATATATATATATATATATATATATATATATATATATATATATATATTCCATGATTAGAAGTTCATACTTGTCCTTAATAAATGCCAAACAGTTGATGATCTCTGAATAAAGAAAGAAAAAGGGTCCTCTCCCCTGTTGCTTCACATGGGGAATTAGGAATTAGTAGCCATCGATCATATATATATATATATATATATATATTCCATGATTAGAAGTTCATACTTGTCCTTAATAAATGCCAAACAGTTGATGATCTCTGAATAAAGAAAGAAAAAGGGTCCTCTCCCCTGTTGCTTCACATGGGGAATTAGGAATTAGTAGCCATCGATCCACACTAAATTCTAACGTCCCTCCTATTGGATAATGAGTTGGTCATCATTAATGATGGCCAACTCATTAATGATGGTCATCATTAATGATGGCCAACTCATTATCCAATAGGAGGGGGACACCTCATGTGTCCCCCCTATTAGTCCCATATTTTGGGTCCTTATAGCAAAGCTCCCCCGCAAATAATCAAGCAACCCCAAAACCAAGCAATTTACAACCCTGATCAAAGTCAAAAACACATCTCTCACACCAGAAAATTAGCTGTTCCCTGTAACTGTAGAGCTAAGATCAGGGGAGTCTAATATATAACATGTACGCATAGCACCAAGAGGGACAAAACTACAAGAGCCATGGTGGTGTTCATACACAAATTACATGGGCTTCAATGCTAGCTAGCTAGCTAATGAGAGAATAATTAAAGTTCCGAGAGATTCATAAGCAAACCCATACTTCATATGCAGCGATGCGCGGCGCTCACTTCTCCAGATAATTCCTCACGAAACTCAGGCAGAACTCGTGGGCGTAGTTAGCGAAGGGGCTGTACTTGGTGTTGCCCCGCCAGATGCTCGGATACATCGGCTAGAGATTTGAGGTTGCATTTGAGCAATGCTTCCACGAAATAGCAAGTCTCGTCCTTCGTGTTTCCGTCAGGAACGTCGACTACGAACGACTCGATCACCAGCGTTCCTGGCCTCCCTTCGACGACCTCAGGGTGTACGGTCGTGATCGAAGAATAGTTCTGTCAAATATTCACGGATGTTACCAAGTCACGAGCCTGATCGAAGTTACAGCTAATTAACAATGAACTTCGATGCAATATTTGAATCAAGAGAACCCCACGTTTTACCGAGCGAAGTTGTGTTTTAAAAAAAATCGATCACATGAACCGTATGGATGTCAAAGATTAATTCAGAAGTGATCGCCCACAGCTACGTACTCATCCAAAATAATCAAAAGAAAATGAAGGCGTACCCTGAGCCTGTGATCACCGCCGAGGATCTTGACTCTGAGTATGTGCTCGTTTTCGTCGACAAACTCAAGCCTCTCCGTGCTGGTGGTGGCCGGGAGCCCGGACTTGACATTGACCTCCCTGACGCTGCCAATGTTGTGATCCCCCTCGACAACGCAACACCTGCTCACAAACGGCTTGTACTTCTGCGGCTGGTCGAAACTCCTCACCAGCGACCACACCTTCATTAATTAATCAATTAATCTCAAAAAGCTAAAAACCACATGAGTAATCAATTAAGTTTTAGGGTACACTACAAATAGTACTACCCGTCCCTTCACGGGATAGCTGGTGTGACATTAACATGCGACACATCAAGCCATTAGCTATGATCCGAAGATGTTAATGATCCGGATCATAGCGAAGCGAGTGTGTATCACGTTAGCAACACACCAGTTCTTATTAATTAAATCGTCTGCACACAAATTTTTCTTATCTTTCAGATACGTTGAATATCACAAAACTTTTAAGTAGAAATATCACGTGCTGCTAGCAAAAAAATAAATAAATAAAAGGCTGAACGTGAAATTGATTGGATGAATTTGATAGTTTGCTTACGAGATGGACAGGGGCTTTGATGTGTTTGACAAGAGCAGAGCTGCACCGGTGCTGATTATCTCCGGCCTCGTGGCGGTGGTACCGGCGCACGTACTCCGCCTCCATGAGGCGGATGCTGTTTCCGTTCATTATCTCCGACGACCACCGCTCCGAACCGACGACCACCGCAGGATCTCCGCCCCCAAAATCTCTTCCGACCATGAAAACTAGTGTTTGTTTAGTTGGATGGATGGATAATAAAGAGGGGGGAAAGGATGAAATTGAAGAGGATATGAGAGAGAGAGAGAGAGAGAGAGTAGTGACCACTATGAAGAAAGTGGATGAAAAAGGGGAGAGAACAATCCAAAGGGATTGGCAACGCATCACATGGCCCTCTCATTCATTGGTCCAGGTTCATTTAATATACTGGTTTCCGCTTTTGCCCTCTTACTTATGTTTATATACACTTGTGCCCCTAGAAGGTTAAAGTCTTAAAGAGGCACAAGGCCAAAAGTGAAGGGAAATAGTTGATCTCAGATTCGACTCTCCTGGAGAGCATTTATATGAATTTAGTTTTCTGAATAACTGAGACCATGCTTAGGGGGTTGCTCCTTAGCCACGTCCGGGAGTTTTGATACTCATGGTCCAAAGAATCGTGAGAAAGTTCCCTCGTCAAACAAAAAGGAGGAGGAGGGTCAGGAGGAGGAGGGTGTTGATCATATATTTCCTAGTTTAGGACCTAGGGCTCTCTTCTATTGCTGTGCTATCACATGATGATTGGCTGTTGAAATTGTTAGTTCACTTGAGTTTGTGTAAGTAATTTTCTCAATTACTTCAAATTTCAAGACTAGAAATTTGTTTAAAATGTAAAGAAGATTACCATACGTGGAAGGGTAGAGATGCCAATAATTAGATGGCATGATGTTAATTTTCAAGATACAAGAATCATATGGTCGTTGTCAAAAAGTCGATCAATCATGGGCCGCTAATCATCATCCTACATCTAGCTCTATAAAATTACTCATAAATTTTTTTTACCTTATATAAAAGACTCTCTTCAACGCAATTTTAGATATCATTTATCTATTTCAATATTTAAGTATCATCTTCTACCTTAATATGATAGATACTCGATATTTAGGGCCTGTTTGGTTCACCAAGGACTAGGAATAGGATTAGGAATCCTATTTAATTTATGGATTCCAACCTAATCCATAAAAATTTTATAGACAAGTTTGAGTTTTATGTAATCCCACTTTTCTTGGCTTTTAATGTTTGTTTCACCCATAGGATTAGTAATCCCACTTTTATAGAATTGTTCCAATTCCTAATACCATGTTTGTAATCCCACTTTTTTATAGAATTAGTAATCCCACTTTTCTTGGGATCGTCACTGTAGCAACGGAAATAAACCCAAAAAAACAGAATTTAGAATATCAAACACCGTAGCAACGGATGAAAGCCTCCAAATTCATATTTCCAGCAGCAGACACCTTAACAACATTTTACATTTCACTGTAGCAACGGTAATAAGCCCCAAAGACCAGATTTTTAAGCTTCAAACACTGTAGCAACGGCTCTTTCTTAGGGATCACTGTAGCAACAGCTATTTCAGGGGTATGGTTTCTATAAATACACCTTGAGGCCATTTCAGGGGTATGGTGTCTATAAATACACCTTGAGGCCTCACATATAATCCCATCTTTCTCATTTTTCAACCCAAAAAAAATTCCCAAGCTCTTCAATTTGCTGCAGGATGATATCAGAAGGGTGCCATGCTAATTATGAAGTTTATTGCGACTGCAATCTCCTAACACCGATGAAAGTGTGCAAAAATGGAAAAAATAAGGGTAGGTGTTATTGGGGGTGTGCAAAATTCCCAAATAAAGAATGCAATTTTTTCGAATGGGCTGAAGAAAGAGGAGAGTCATCAAGCCCCCAAGGAAGCCAATATGTCAAAGAAAATAGGTACGGAGATAAATATATCTTGCAATCAAAGAAGCTGAAGAAAGAATTGAGACTTGTCGAAAATCAACTACTAGCTTGGAAAATTTCGGCAATTTTCTTAGCAATTTTTTGTTTTATTTTAATTATTACAAACTTCATGTCATGTACTTGTAATTGCAAAAACTATTGAGGATGTAATGAAAACTGTTGTTTGAATTGGGTACAAATTCTAATTGATATTGTATGGCTCAGTAATAGATCAACTTGTCATCATTGATTGCCCCACCTATAACTTACATGTTTATTACAAATTGCATTATAAGGATGAATTGCCTCGCCTAGACATTGTCAATTCAATGTAGGCTGCAATGTCATCCCCTTTTGCCTCATCTGGATATAATAAACAATGTAAGTTAGATTGCATTCTCAGTAAACGCTAATCATCACCATTGCCAAATATCAAGTGCAAGGAGCTACACAAGCTGAAAACCAAACCGCAAATTAATCCACAGGCAAGGAAAACCAAAACAGCTCCCACAAAGCAGCAATCCCCATTACAGGAGCTACACAAGCTCAGAACAAAACAGAAACAAACCCAGGGGTCAAGAGCTACACAAGCTCAGAACAAAAAGCCAACAAACCAGACAGCAAGGAGGTAGACAACCTACAACGAAAACAGCAACAAACCCAAGTCACAGGAGACAAACAAGCTCAGCACAAAACAGGCACAAACCCACCGACAGGGCGTCTTGTAATACCCTATAATCATTTGCTGCCCCCTCCCAGCCAGCCAAGACATAAGTAAATAGTTTATTGGGGGTGCAGGCTGCTAAGATGTTTTGGGTGACCCCTTTTCGCCCTCTAAACCGTGCAACTAGGTCACTAGGTAACACCGCGTCGACGTGTGTGCCATCTATCAAACCAATGCAGTCCTATAAAAAATTATAAATTATACATAGTTAAATAAAAAAAAGTTTATTTGGAAAATTATTAAGTTGTATGTATTTAATTTACCTTAAAGTACGGAAAATAATTTGAGTTGTTTGCAATCTCCTCGGGAACTTCTTTTGGGGCTTGCTTCATGTACCGATCACGTAATCCATTCATTGCTTGCAAGACTTTATTGAAATACCTGCTAACTGTTTCCCCTGATCTTATGAACTCAGTTCTTATTATTCTATTTTTAGTTTTGTGCCCAATAATACTCAGGAACATAGCAAGCTGTTCTTCAACTTGAACGTGTCTTGTATCTTTTAATAAACCGTTTGCTTTCATTACTTCAACAAGTTTAAAAAAGGCCATCGGTCTCATTCTAATATAAGATTGGCAGCTATCTTGATAGCCCTCCAGTACACGTCTGAAGTGAGCCTCTCTACAATATATTTTTCTGATCTTTTCTTGCGTCGTACAAGTTGATATTCTCTTGCGCTTAGCACGCATTCTCAAAATACATGTTACCAAAGTGACCACGGCGCAGACAGCTGTATTAGCACACATCCTCTTCAATTCTTCCTCATCTTCCATATCCATCTACATCCGTTTTAAAATTATCATACAGTTACAGCTTAAGATGACTACGTATTTCTTATCAAAATTAAGTAGATAATTGATACAAATATTTATTTCTTTTAAAGCAAGTAATCTAATTAAAATGAAAATTATTTTAACTAATGTTGCATTCCATCTCACACAATTATCAAGAAGCAATATAGACCCAAAAACAAACAAACTATATGGTTAGATTGCTAATAATTTACACACACAAAAAAAAATAAGGAATTAAAAGGGAAAAAAACAGCAAGTTCGGTACACAGCAATTTTAACTAATTATTTGAGGGCCTTATTTAGATTTTAGAAAGATTTGTGCAAGAAAAATAACTTCTACTACAGTTTCATGTCGTTTATAATTCTAACAACCTAATACTTGCACATTAACAACAAAATCCAGTACACAAACACCCGCATGAATTGTTTTACCCTAATATTATGAGATTAATCTCTTATGTATTCAAAACCTCATCACCCTCTATTACTTGTGAGAAGTTTGAGTTAATTCTCATAAAAGATTATTAAAGTTAAATATATAATTACCTCAAAATACATAGAGGATTACATTATGCGTGCATAAGTGTTTGGGTAAATTAATCTTTGAAAGATGATGAACAGCCTCTTCTCCCCTCTTGATCCGTATAGAGTTTCTACTTGAGCGAAAATAGGAAAAATAGAAAAATAACTGCAGAAATAAGGCAAAATAAAAAAACAAAATTTATACCTGTCTGATGAAGTTCCAGAATGCCGACGGCCAACCAAAAAACCCACCGAAGTCAATCACAACACAGTAGCCAACAACCACACTCGAAGCAGAACAAGATCGAGAAGGGAAACCAAAGAATCGAAGGCGTTAAAAACCTAACAGAAGCGCGGGGAAAACAAAGCTAGGGTTTCGATTTGGAGCCCCGACACCAAGTAGAAGAAGACGAAGCGCGGGAGAAGAGGCGCGAAGAAGAGGGCGATGCGGCGGGAGACGAAATCCGATTCCAGATCTAGGGATCGACTTCGCGAGATAGGAATCGGAATCGACTCAGAAGCGCCCTGTCAGAAATCTCGCCCAAATCCGTTCATCTTCATCCGATTTGGGTTTCTATAAAAAAACGATACTGTAGCTACTTTATAGATTTGGTAATCCCAAATTTCTGGCTGAGCCAAACCCCAGAATAGGATTCACATAGAATCAATAAATTACCAAATTGCCACTGTCAGACCCCAATTACTAATCCTATTCCTTAAACTGGTGAAACAAACAGGCCCTTAGTTGACACGAGAGACCTCAAGGCTCTTTCTGCCTCGTGATACTAAACCCTCTCCTGCAATTTCTTAGCAACTAGAAGGGCATTATAGTAAAAGCAGCCAATATCTTTGAACCCCCGTTTTCAATAGTGCGATAACATGCACCTCCAAATTTTCTTCATCTTCCCCTTCTCATTTTCCACTGATGCCCTCCCTTGGCTGACCCCTCCTTTGCGCCTAAGTCAGACCAAATACCAACCGTAGATCTTGAAACTAACGGTTACTTATTCGGCACGTTTCAGATTGGAACCGACCAAGGAAATTGACCCACTTGGGCGGTTCAATTTTGTATTGTTTTTCTCTCCCACTTCTAAGTATTCCCCGTTCACAGCTCGTGGGTAATATTAAATACATATAAGATAATTTTATTATTTTATTTCTTCTCTCTTTGGAAACTGACGGTATGAAATAGATGGGATAAATTAATATATACTATATATATATTAAGAAAAACTTCTTTTTTATTATTGGGAATCATTTTTTAGAATTCTAAAATTGTCTTTACATCTAAAAAAAAAAGTTAATTGTAAATGCTCTTATACTTGCGCTT